GCTAAGCAAAATAAGCCAGTCAGAGAAAGATAAGTATCAAATAATCTCAGTCCTTTGTAGAATTTAATCCTATCTAATAAAAGAGTAATATGCAAATTAACCATTACTCCGCCACACCCATTAGCCATGCCCACTAGCCACACCCATCAGCCAATCAGAGCAAGTATGCAAATTAACCCCAACCAAAATGGCTGTAGCCACAGAGATCAGAAGGGAGGCTTGGGTTTCCCTGGCAATGGAGGAAGCCAAGCTTTCAGCACACCCTGGCAGGTCCAGGCCGCCACTCAAGGGTACAAAGTTTCAATTATAGAAGGTAAATAAATTCCAACAGAAATGGCGGCAGCCACAAATCTGGAAAGAGGAAGAGGCTAGGGTTGTCCCAGGTGATGGAGGAAGCCAAGCTCTGTAGCCCTGGCCAGCTCAGGCCTTTACTCCAGGCCACAAAGTTTCAACTATAGAAGATACATTAATTCCAACGGAAATGCAGCCAGGGAGTGAGCAGGAGGCTTGGCTCTGCTTCAGGCTACAAAGTTTCAATTGTAGATGATAAATAAATTCCAGATATTAGGGCCTCCATTTGGGTAAGGGGTGGGGGCGGTCTGCAAACCACCACAGGCCTCTCGCCTAGGCCGCCCCATGCCCCCAAGGAAACCCACACCCTTATCCGGGACACCCTTCAGGGCAAACCAGCCGGCCCCCACCTGTGCACCAGGCCTCTATCCTATCTAATAATATGCACATTGATCATCACTCCAAAACACAAGATTGCTATCCCCATGTGGTCAAAGATCCTGCCCTCATTTGGACACAAGATGGCCACCACAAGATGGCCAGAAAAGAAGGACAGTTGGGAGGCACTAGGCCTCCAAGGAAGGGCAGTTGAGAGGGACCAGGCCTGCAAGTGAGGGAATTTGGGGGCAATCAATCCTGCAGGGGAGGACAGCGAGGGGTGACCAGGCTGGCAGAATAGGGAAGTTGGGGGCAAACAGGCTGGCAGAGGAGCAGTTAGACATCAATCAGGCTGGCATGGGAGTGGTTGGGTGATCAGGTTAGCAGACAGAAGCGGTTAGGGGCAATCAGGAAGGCAAGCAGGTGAACAGTTGGGAGCCAGCAGTCCTGGATTGTGAAAGTGATGTCCGACTGTCCGGTGGGATCAGGCCTAAATGGGTAGTTGGACATCCCTCGAGGGGTCCCAGATTGGAGAGGGTGCAGGCTGAGCTGAGGCACATCTTCCCCCCCGCTCCCTCCATACATGAATTTCATGCACTGGGCCTCTTGTGAACAATATAAACTGATGAACACGAATAGATCCAGAGACACAGAACCATCCAATAGACCATCAAATCTCAGAGGAATAGTCGGGGAGGGGGTGAAGAGGGGATAAGAGATCAACCAAAGAACTTGTAAGCAGACAATGATCAGGGGGGTGGTGAAGGCCATGGCTGTGGGTCAAGGGCAGGCTGGGAGAAGACAATGGGGGAGGGGGAGGAAGATGACATATAGGTAATACTTTCAACAATAAATAATTTAAAAAACAGTATTACAAGAGATGTTAGACTTCTTTAAAAAGAAGAAAAAAGATCAAAAATATGAATAACAGTATGGCAATATATCTATTTATATATCTATCAACTGGAAGCCAAATGTATGAAAATTCATTCATTGGCCGAAACCAGTTTGGCTCAGTGAATAGTGTGTCTGTCTGCGTATTGAAAGGTCCCAGGTTCGATTCCAGTCAAGGGCATGTACATTGGTTGCAGGCACATCCCCAGTAGGGAGTGTGCTGAAGGCAGCTGGTCAATGTCTGTCTCTCTCTCATCGATTTTTCTAGCTCTCTATCCCTCTCCTTTTCCTCTCTGTAAAAAATCAATAAAATATATAAAAAATTAAAAAAAAAAAAAAAAAAAAAAAAGCTGAAACCGGTTTGGCTCAGTGGTAGAGTGTTGGTCTGCGCACTGAAAGGTCCTAGGTTCAATTCCGGTCAAGGGCATGTACATTGGTTGCGGGCACATCACCAGTAGAGGGTGTGCAAGAGGCAGCTGGTCGATGTTTCTCTCTCATTGATGTTTCTAGCTCTCTTTCTCCCTTCCTCTCTGTAAAATATCAATAAAATACATTTTTTTTTTAAAAAAAATTTAAAAAGAAAAAGAAAAAGAAAATCCATTCACTGGAGGGTGGTGTTCCTCAGCCCGGCCTGCCCTTTCTCATAGTCTGGCAGCCCTCAGGAGTGGGAGGCAACCCGGTGATTAGGGGAAGGTGATGTCCCACACACCTCTGCTGCTGCCACTGCTGGTAGCACAAGCCTTGGCTAGCCCTGGTTACCTGAGCCTTGGGCCAGCCCTGGGCTGCCACCATCTAAGGCTTGCCTGCACCTTGGGCCGGCCCTGGGTGGCTTGGGGGCTGAGGGGACTGGGAGACACCAGAGGTAGGCACCCTTGTAGGACTGAGGGGACTGGTTGCCACCATCTTTGAAAGAAAGGCAGTTAATTAGCACATTCCCTCCTTATTGGCCATGGGCGCATCCAACTTTGCAATGGTGTGAGGGTCAATTAGCATATTCCCTCTTTATTAGATGGGCCCAATGCACGAATTTGTGCACCTTGAAAGGAACTGTGGGCCTCGAGGCTCTGGTCAGCACCGGTGCAAGTCTCAGCTCATCTTCGGGCCCCCGCCTAGCCTCCCGCCTAGCCTCCAGCCGCAGCCCCCGATCCTCCATCTGCCAGTACCCCAGCTCCCACTGCTGTTGCTCCCAGATGCTGATGGCACTGTTCCCGTTTGCACCCACTGACAGTGTGGAATGATTGGGGCTGTCGACGTCAGCAGGTATGAGCAGCAGCTGTTGCCCTGATTGCCCCTCATGAGCAGGGGGAGGTGGGAAAGCCCTGAGGGGTAATTGGGGCTGGCAGGCGCTGCTCGCACCTGCTGATGGTGCTGAGCGATTGGGGCAGGAGCCAGCAGCAGGTGTGAGTGCCGGGTGGGAGTGTGGCACATGGGAGCAAAAAATGGGAGACTCGCCCCAATGTCAGCAAATTGTGCCCGTCTTAGTCTCACATCCCCATTCACCTTCACCATCCTACCACAGCTGACACCCACCATGTTCTGCGCTCTGTCACCTGCTGCTGATTCCCGCCATGTTCTCTCTGTATCCCTTGGTGGTCAGCACACATCATAGAGACCGGTTGTTCCACCGTTTGGTCTATTTGCATATTAGAGGTATAGGTAGGTAGGTAGATAGATAGATAGATAGATAGATAGATAGATAGATAGATATAGATAATTACTCTAAATGTAAATGGATTAAATGCTCTAATTAAAAGACATAGTAAGGTTGAATGGATAACAAAACAGGACCCTTACATATGCTGTCTGGAAGAGACTCATTTCAGGTCAAAAGACACACAGACTAAAAGTAAAGGGATGGAAAAAGGTATTTTATGAAAATGGAAATGGAAAAATAAAAAGTTGGAGTAGCAATACTTAATACCAGACAAAACAGCCTTGGATACAAAAGCTATAAAAAGCGACAAAAGGATAAATACCTGCTTCTGGGTATTTATCGCGGAAACCCTAAACACTAACTCAAAAAGATCTGCATCCATATGTTTGCTGCAGTCTTGTTTAAAATAGCCATGATATGAATGCAACCTAAGTGTCCATTCATAGGTGAATGGATAAAGAAGTGGCACATGTATTTACAGTGGAACATGACCCAGCCATAAAAAAACATGTTTGAACCTCAAGAGTATTGTGCCCAGTAAAATAAGCCAGAGATAGGTCAATATGATTTCACTTATGTGTAGAAACTATAAACCTAACTAACTATCCGAACACAGTAGAAACAAACTTATAGATACAGAGAACATTTTGATGGTTGCCAGATGGGAGGGAGATGGAGAGTAATGGTGAAATAAGTGAGAAGTACAGATTTGTTGTTATAGAGTAGTCATAGGGATGTAAAGTTTTGCATAGGGAATTCAGTCAATATTGTAGCCCGGTACAGTGTGACTGCTTGGCGCATTGTCCTGTGTACCAAAGGGTCATGGGTTTGATTTCTGGTCAGAGCACATACCCAGGTGGCGGATTTGATACCTGGTCGGGGTGAGTACAGAAGGTAACCGATCAATGTTTCTCTCTCCCACTGATGTTTCTCTCTTTCTCTCCCTCTCTCAAATCAATTCATTAAAACGAACAAGCATATAACCTGGGTGAGGATTAAAAATAAGAATATTATGATAACTATGCATGGTGTCAGATAGTAACTAGATTTATTGGGGTGATCACTTTGTAAGTTATATAAATGTTGTACAGCTGAAACTAATATAATATTGTATGACAGCTGTAACTGAAAATTATCTTTTTAAAACACATTCAAGAGATACATTTCATCAGTATAGTTCAGTAAATACTTATTGGTTACCTATTCAGTATGATTACACTTATTATAGTCATTAAAAATTCATTCCTAAGACTATTTCCATCAGCATCCTTGTTTCTCCAGATTGGAGTCCTCTTTAGCAGTTCAATTTTTAATAAGCTTTAATTTATAATATAAAATTTGTTTTACAGACATTTAGGTACTTCTTGGTACAGAACTTATAGTCATCAATCATTGCTTTAATAAAATACCAGTAGAAATAATTTCATAGTCTGATTTGTTTAGCCATTCTCAAGTTATTTCTGTCAGAGACTAGGACTTTGATAAAGGGAAACTTTAAGTGAAAACCACTTTCATCTAATATTATAAATTACAAATAAGTCATGTAGAGTTGCAGTCTAACCATTGGAAGCATGATATGGTTAAGATGACTGGAGGAATGATTATGAGGTATGTTTTATTTGGTAATTATTTATTGCTAATTGTTCATTAGAATGTCTTAGTCTTATTACTTGCTTTTGAAACTTTTATTCATAGCTTGTTTTTCCTTTTTCTTTTTAATGTGTTCATCCATCTTTGTTTTTAATCTGGAAAGCTCATTTTAATGTAATTGTTATTTTTAAAGATGTTTTTACAACAGTCAACCCCTGGTTTGAATTTTGGTTCTGTTCAACTTTCTTCTGGAAATTCACCTAACATCCAGCAACTCACACCTATAAATATGCAAAGCCAGGTTGTTCAAACTAATCAAATTCAAAGTGGAATGAATACTGGACACATTGGCGCAACTCAGCACATGGTACAGCAGCAGACTTTACAAAGTTCATCAAGTCAGGTAATGCTATCTACTGCTACAGGCTATGGAGTGCTCAACAATTAAAATGTCTATTATTGTTGCAACTAAAATAAAGCTCTATCTTGAACAATACTATATTTAGAATTTAATAATAATTAGAAAATATAATATTGAAAATTAAAATATTTTGTTCAAAAGTGTTAGTTGTGAAACTGTTGATTGTTAAATACTTTCACTATTTTGACATTTAAAAATTCGTAGGTTAAAAAGGTTTGACTTGCAAAGGAGACTGACCAGGAAACATGTTACCATACATGAAAAATAAATTGTTGGGACAGAAATGCTTTAATCAGTATTCCTGAAAATTTTACTAATTAATGTACATCTGTAACTGTAAATCCCAGGGCTACAAATAAAATATAGAAAAATGTCTAATGTTGACAATTTATTTGGAGCATTTAATATAAAATCTTTATGTTTATATTATCCCTGTTAAGATCATGCTTTTTTTCTAAGATCATAGCTTACATTCCAGCAAGATATTGAAGATTAATTGATTCTCAGTTACTATGTCATTATTTTGTGGTCAGATTTCTCTCAGAGTAATATGTTCTGCCACTTCTTTTTCTGTAATGTCAACTATTACTAGGATAATCTAGTACAGTGGTTCTCAACCTTTTTAATGCTGTGACCTTTTAATACAGCTCCTCATGTTGTGCTGACCCCCAACCATAAAATTATTTTTGTTGCTACTTCATAACTGTAATTTTGCTGCTGTTATGAATTGTAATGTGAATATCTGTGTTTTCCGATATGTTCGATCTACAGGTTGAGAACCACTGCTGTAGAGCCTAAGACTATCAGAAAACACAGATATTTACATTACAATTCATTAACAATAGCAAAATTAGTTATGAAGTAGCAACGAAAATAATGTTATGATTGGGGGTCACCACAGCATGAGGAACTGTATTAAAGGGTCATGGCATTATAAAGGTTGAGAACCGCTGCTCTAGAAGCATACTTCCTGATGTAAACTTTTTCAGTTAATCTGTCATTATAATCTCTTCTTTTCCAGCAGAGTCAACAAAATGTCCTAAGCGGACATAGCCAACAAACATCTCTTCCGAGTCAGACCCAGAGCACTCTGACAGCCCCCCTGTATAACACTATGGTGATTTCTCAGCCGGCAGCCGGAAGCATGGTCCAGATCCCGTCTAGTATGCCACAGAACAGTACCCAGAGTGCTGCAGTTACTACATTCACTCAGGACAGACAGATAAGGTAGTTATCAAGTTCAATAGTCATCCTAAAGTTGTAACTTACTTGATTAAAAATAATTTTCTTTTTAAAAGTATGATTTTAGTTTGTTATTTCAAACACTATTCTTTTTTTAAATATATATATTTTATTTATTTTTTACAGAGAGGAAGGAGAGGGATAGAGTTAGAAACATCAATGAGAGAGAAACATCGATCAGCTGCCTCCTGCACACTCCCTACTGGGTATGTGCCCGCAACCAATGTTCATACCGTTGACTGGAATCGAACCTGGGACCCTTCAGTCTACAGGCCAACACTCTATCCACTGAGCCAAACCGGTTTAGGCTCCTTTTTTTTTCTTTTTTTTCTTATTGATTCTAGAGAGAGGAAGGGGAAAAGAGGAGAGAGAAGAAAAACAAAGAAGAGAGAGAAACATCAATCGGCTGTCTTTTGCACGTGCCCCCAGTGGGCATTGAACCACAACATAAGTATGCTCCCACTGGAAATTGAATCCACCACCTTTTGGTGTACAGGATGGCACTCCAACCAAACAAACCACACTGGCCAGGGCCAGCCAATATTCCTTTTTTTTTTTTTTTTTTTTTAAATATTGATTTTTTACAAAGAGGAAGGGAGAGGGCTAAAGAGATAGAAACATGGAAGAGAGAGAAACATCGACCACCTATCTCCTGCACAGCCCTCACCGGGGATGTGCCTGCAACCAAGGTACATGCCCTTGACCGGAATCGAACTCGGGACCTTCCAGTCCGCAGGCCGACGCTCTATCCACTGAGCCAAACCAGTTCCGGCTATTCTTGAATTTGAAATAAAGATGCATAATGTATTCATTGTTTAAGGACTTTGTAATAAAAAGGTAGCAACAGATTTTGTTTCCTGTCCAGAAATGTGCTACCAAATATTGTAAAAGCCAAATTCTGCAGCACACTTTTATATGACTTTTATGACAGGCTTTGTGTCACTGAAACTTTTATTATTTTAGTACAGATATTGGTGAGTTTTCATATAGTAACAATGGTTAGGGTATACACTACCATAGTTTGTTTTGAAATAAAAGTAGCTTGCCTTTCTTGAGTTTGTTTAGAACTATACTAACCGCTCAAAACATTATTTCATTTAATTCTTACTTTTAAAACTGTGTTAAACTGTGGGGGTCGAGCCTGAAACCCTGGCATGTGCCCTGTTAGGAAGTCAATTGTGACCTCCTGGTTCATAGGTCAAAGCTCAACCACTAAGCAACACTGGCCAGGCTATATACACATTTTGTGTAAAAACATGAAACAAAATTGAAAGATACAACTTTAAAAAACTAAGTTGGCAATATCATTGGATATTATCTTAGAGAAGTATTCAGCCACTGCCTTTTGTAATGCATGTTTTTTGTATTTCTAATTCCCCTTTTCTTCCTCTTACAGATTTTCTCAAGGTCAGCAACTTGTGACCAAATTAGTAACCGCTCCCGTAGCTTGTGGGGCGGTCATGGTACCTAGCACTATGCTTATGGGTCAGGTGGTGACTGCCTACCCGACTTTTGCTGCACAACAGCAGCAGTCACAGACATTGTCAGTCACGCAGCAGCAGCAGCAGCAGCAGCAGCAACAGAGTTCCCAGGAGCAGCAGCTCACATCAGCTCAGCAACCGTCTCAGGCTCAGCTGACCCAGCCACCACAGCAGTTTTTACAGGTAATTCTCCCAAACTTATTTACTGTTATATAATGAAATGAGGTGTTACGTGAACACTTTTATAAGTGATCTGGAAAAATGCATAGGAACTAACTGTACAAGTTAAAATTTCTGTAAGACAAAGTTTGTCTGGTTGGCTATATGTGTTCCCCTGGTTAGTCCTTCAAAGATTTAGTCCTGCCATGGACATACCGACTATTTATGCTGGCTAGAATAAGACACTTTATAGAGAGCCCTCTCTGGCTAGTGTTTCTGGAATTCAAGGAAAGGCATCTTTCTTTCATCTCTTATCTTTAGCAGCCCATCAAACTACTCTACCAGACAGGGGCATCAAATCATATTTTTTTTAAATTAGGTATCTTAAATTATATTTTAAGATTAAGTTTTATAATGATTTTTAGGTTATACATTAGTATTAGAAGAGAAATATTATGGAAGCAGTTAAGAATTTGGGCTCTTAAGTCCTGCTGCCTTGGGATTCAGTTACTTCTGCACTACTTACTGCGTGACCTTTGGCAGGTTACTTAACTTGCTAAACTTCAATTTCCTCATCTGTAATATGGAGGTGCTATGGATAATGCATGTAAATCACTGAACATAGCATAAGGCATATTAATTGGCTGTTGTGTATGACTACCAGTGATAAACACACTGACCAAAATGCAGACACACATCTCATAGGGTTGCATTAGATAGTATCTACTTCTCTGAAGGATACAGTAACCTCAGCAAGAAAATCAGGACAAGTTTCTAGCGTCTCACTGGTGGGTGCACAGCAGATGATAACATCTGGAAGTCTAGCCTTTTCTCTTCTGGCTGACGGGGAGGGAGCCGTTTTGAATATAGGCTAGCCTAGGATTGTGCTAGAGACCAATCCATGTAGGCCAGGCACAAATCAATTTTAGAGTTATACAACATTTGGTATAATTAGAAGATTTAATATTATATTGTATACTCAGGCATAAATACACTTTTAATTTATCACCCTAGGAATTCAAATAAAATTCCTAACCTTGTGAGGTGGAAAACTATACAGATAGTTTCCTAAGTCTCTCTCAAGTTATACATAGTTCCTTAAACCTATACTGCAGCTATGAATGACTGGCTCACTTACTGTTGTAAATACATTATTAATTAGAATTTATAACAAGTTATAAAGTATTATTATGGGGATAGATAACCAAGGAGAATTAAGTAAAAGTTTAAAAAAGGAGAGGTTTTGCCTTTAAGACCTCAGTCTTCTAAGTCTAACAGAATGAGGACCCTTAAAAGAATGAACATTGTCTTATCCCCCACTTATGAAAAAAAGCATTCCAAAGTAAGATCAGCAATACCCTTCAGAGATATATTCATATGTAGATAGTAAATACTATATAATTTGGCTTTTCTCACATATAATATCTAGTTCTAAAATGTACCTCTGTTGTAACCCTGTATGGCTCATGAATGTACTGGGTTCTTTATCTTACAAAAGCTTTTGTTAATGTGCTCTGGCCAGGTAGCTCAATTGGTTAGAGCATTGTCCCAATATCTCAAGGTTGTGGGTTCAATTCCTGGTCAGAGCACATATAAGAATCAACCAATGAATGCATAAAAAAGAGTTTTTCTTAATGACAAAGACAGAAAGCAAATTGTCCAGATCCTTGGCAAAGCTTAATGGTTCTTAAGGTTCAGGATCTATCCATGTGCTTGCAAGTGTCCTTCATTTGTAGTGGTGACTGTCTTTTCATTGTCCCAATGAAAAGTGGAAAACTTAAGAAAATGTTAATGTACATAAAATAGTGGGGGTAAAGCAATGTTTCATAATCCATTTGTTGTTAGACTTCTAGGTTGCTTCACGGGAACCCTTCAACTCAGCTTATCCTCTCTGCTGCGTTTCCACTACAACAGAGCACTTTCCCTCAATCACATCACCAGCAACACCAGTCTCAGCAGCAACAGCAACTGAGTCGGCACAGGACTGACACTTTGACGGATCCTTCCAAGGTTCAACCGCAGTAGCACACGTCTCCTCTCTGACTCGAGGAAGGAAGGGTTGGCCCATAAAGAGTTGCTCAGAAGATCTGAGGATGAGGAGGAAAAGTTCTATCAATAGTAGACTCATGAGATATGCAGTATTGAGTATTCTAATTCCTCGAATTAGTTAGCAGGGAAAATGCTGCCTAGTGCTGCAGATGTACATTAAATACCCGCCAGCAGGAAATGACCATAGGGCCATAGCCAATTCTGACAGTGTTTTAATTGCCCAGATATTTTTTGATGAAAAACAAAAAGAGTATATTGCCAAATGTAGAAGCTCAGCTAAAGAAATACGACCTCCAGTGAATCAGAAAGGCACTAACAATGTTAGTAACTTTTAGTGGTTCTGTGCCTGTTTTCAAGTGTTACAGAGGACACGCCACTGCCACATCAGGGGTTTGCTTACAATGATGCCATGAAGACAGTGCAGTCAACCCAGTAGTCCCTCTGCCCAAGCCCCTCTCCCTTCTCAGATAATGGTGGAATCGCAATTTCAGAATGTTGTGTGGATTCAAATTCTCTATGTACAGATGCTGTAAAAATATTATGTATATGTCTGGATAAAAGGAAAGAAAGCAAAACATTTTGTATGCTGCATGAAAGCATTATCTCCTCCTTAAAGGTATGAATACATTTCCTTAGATTCTGATGCCATGTGCAAACTAATACATCCTTTGTTTTCCCTTTTGTTTACAACACGATAGTGTTCTCTTCACTTTTCCGGGGCACAAGTCTTTTGTTCATACTTGGCTGTGATGTCACAGTTTGTTCAGTGAGGTATGATGTGCTGCTGGGAATGGATTTTTTTCAGGTTAAATGATTGAAATAACAGGATTTTCAAGTTACTCAGAAGTATCCTTCATTTCATTCTTTTTCAATAATGTTTGAAAATAGGATTTGCACTGCTTTATTTTAGAAGGTTGGGAGTTTTGATCACATATTTTGATATAGTTCATAGTTAGAAATAGTTGAGTAAATGGTTTGTAACAAGCCTGAGAGAAATTTCATGAATGTTTCAGTTATAGGAGTAAAATTTGCACGCAAAACATTTTAGGCACTTTTTAACATTCTCACTGGTGGGAATTTTAACTTTTAGGATTTGTTGGAATCTTTTTATTATCCTTCACAATTTCAATGTTTCTTTAGTCAGAAATGATTCAGGGTTATTTGACGGGGGAAAACCCATAGTGCCTTGATTTTGATTCAGGTGATAACTCACCATCTTGAACTCATTGTCTGGTTTCAGTAGCAGTTTTGAAACCTTAGTACATTTTTAATAGCATGTGAGTGTCCGTGCCATTATTTTCCTACAATCCTATGAAGACTGCTTTGAATCTCTTGACTGGAAATACAGATAATTTAGAAATAAAAGATGACATACTAATACTATCAGAGTCATCAATGTAATTGAAAATTGTTTTTCCTAAATCAGCATCTTCATTTAAAGTTGAAATAAGTAGTCATTGAAGAATTACTAGTAAATATTTGCTCTATGATTTTTACAAAAAAAAAAAAAAAAGGTGTAGGAATTTGCCTTCACTACAACATTAGAATATTGGAACTCACATGCTTTCTAAACATGAACTAAGATTTCATTTGGCAATATCATATTCCAAAGGTAGTAAATTCCAACAAAAATTATATTCATAAAAACATTTTATATATTCTATGGTACTAATAATTAAATTCACAACTTAGAACAAAGGAAAATATCTTATTAGAATATCAAAAATTATTACTGTGGAAAGGGAAGACAGCAAGCTGTAATAAATAAAAATTGACCTGAAAAGAAAATGTATAAAAGAATTGAGGTTGTTCAACAGGAAAGGTTTTGAGCAATGAAAATAACCTAATACAGAATTGCTAGATAAAGGAGTCAGAGAAATTCTAAGATTGTTCTTCAGACTTTTCTGTCCTCAGCTTTGCTATTATCCTTAAGGGATATATTGTTTTTCTGTAGAAAACTATACCTGGCCACTCTTAAATTAGAAAATGTTGAAAATGAAAACAACCAAAGAAAGTTGGTACCTACCCTTCTATAAAAGAAGTGTCATTAGATACCAATCAATAATTAACATATCAAGGAGCTCCTCTCCTAGCTAAATGATCATCTAGAAGAGATTTCTGACTCATGAATGTCAAGGATAGTTGTCAGAATATGTGTGTACTTGAGCCTATACAACACCAAAATTGATGTTGTAAATATGGCAACAGTATTAATTAATCTCCCCTTTCAAGTTGCCTATGTTAACCTTATCATGCCATTCCATATAGTGAGTTGTGCCTCTTTCATTCATTGGTGATATCTAGTGATAATGGATTTAGCTAATAAAATATATGAATAACTATTATATTAAGGTATAGCCTCCAAATATCACACTTTAAAGAAAGATGGTGGACCATGAGTACTGTGTACTTAGATGAACAAAAGCAAAGCCTAGGCACTATTTTGCATTTATAATTACTGTTGTTTTTGACAGTTCACTTTTTTTCTGCTTAGAATTGATTACTAAATTTAAAAAAGCAGCTAGCTGCTCTCCTCTGCTGTCAGCAGACATCTGTGTGTTAGAAGAGCTAGTGAGCACCAGCCTCTTAGCTCCTTTAACTCTTCCTCCTGCTTCTCCTGGGCTTGGATTGCAGGCCTGTCCCTGCCCTCTCCCATGAATGGAGACTTGACATTCTGATGAAGATTCAGCAGCTGCCTGTTCTTCCTTCATTTCTGTAGCCAGAGTTGTTGATTAAAATACTAAACTTAAGTCATGAAAAAAAAACAAAACACAAAAAGAAAATAGGAACACCTTCTAACTACTTAAAAAATCATCTTTCCTCTGCTTTATTCTTTTTTTTTTTTCTTTAAAAAAAAAAACACATTTTGTTCTGGGTGGCACTTTTTAGATAAGAAACTATTAAAGATGAGGCAAATTGTTAGCTGTTGTGCAGTTATCTTGCTTAGGCTTGCTGTGGCACTGCGTGAGTCAGTATAGGTTTAACAACATGTGAACACTTCAAGGACTAATAAAATTGCTGCTGGAGTACGGCAACCCTGAGCATCTACTCAAAAGCATTCTATTTTTTTAGTGGAAAATATGTGCAGAAAAGCAGATATAGTGGATGGGGGTGGCATTCAGTAAGTCCTACAGTTCTGTTTCCAAACTTCGACTTACGGGGGTAATCCTGTGCTCTGCTTTGTCACTTAGATCTGGCTTAGGAATGTACTAGTGATAGGACAATGCCAGTGTCTTTGAACGGTTATAGAAAACTGTGTGGAAGAGTGAAATGGTAATTTGGATTCTTCAGAAGTGCTGAAGTTGCTGGGTCATTGCCTTCCAGCAGTCTGCTGGCGGTCAGTTCAGCGCATTGGAGCAGTGCGGCTCTGTAGAGAAGGGAGATGAATCCTTGTTCACGAAGCCTTAGACAGGGGTCCTACAGATAGGTGAAAGTACTTTTTAACTGGATATTACTCAGCGGTTTTTAAAATGTTTCCACTACATTGCAGTAAACTTTTTAAAAAGTGGAATGCAAGTAGCATTTTGCTCTGGTAGTATTCATTTTTTCCTTCTCTGTGCTTTTTTTTTTTAGTGATTGAAAGTTTGTTGATGAACATTTGTGTTAAACTCATTCAAATCTATAACCTTTCCAATATCTGTGTCCCTGTTCATAGCCCCTTGGGAGTCAATGTTGGAAGGTGTAAACACTGGATATTACTATTGCTGAGTGAGTCTAGCCAGAAGTGAACCGGTGGGAAAAGACACAGCACAACGGCTCCTGCCATTTTAATAGTGATTCGAGAAAGAAAACCTGTTAAGTTTGTTTGAGTTGGGTGAGCATTCTTCTGAAAGGAGCTTCTGAAGTAATTGCAAAGGAAAAGAGTCGACTATTTTTATAGCATATTTAATATATTTGTATATAACTATGAATATAGTAGGAACCACCCTCCACATGCCTCCCACCTTTTCTAATTTCCTCCCCCTTTGCCATAGCACTAGTATAGCCTCGTCCGCATGGGTAATGTGCCTACTGCCAGCCTACCGAAAGATAGCGCTGCTGCTTTCTGAGACAGGTGAGAAGACCCAACTCTCATGCCGGGGATCCTTTACGTAGGAATAGCACACACTTAAAACAACATCCCACAGTCTGAAAGCATCATTTTTAAATGTAACAAGCACTTTATTGCAATTATTCATTTTGATAAAGTTTATCTTAGGCATTACCGTTTCTAAAGGATCCCCAAAATCATCACTTAGGTGAAATTTTAAAATGACCCATTTCTGAGAAATGTTTAGATCCAGTGAACCGTAGTAGGTTTATGGGAGTGATTTCAAGGTAGCCAAATGTACTTGACTTTTGTTTTGAATGTGGTGGAGTTGAGATTGTTGATGCTAGTTCCATTTAGACACTATTGTAAATCTATCTTGCCTATTGTGTGGACACCAAAAGAGCCTGTTTATTTTCAGAAGTCTAGGGAAATTGCATCAGTGTGAATAAATGTATAGAACTAACCTAAAAGTGATTGTTAGTAATATTTTAGACTACAGTCATTTCAAGAATTATTCTGAGTGTTTTCAATGTGCTCTGAAATGTTGGCATGTCATTTCAGCGTTCCCATTTGAATTGCTCTTGTAATATTTTTGCACAAAAAGGACTACTTTGGTTGAAGAAAAGAAAAATGTGTAATTTGGTCTTATTTTAATGACTTCTGTGGAAACACTGGGGATGAATTTTGTTGGTTTAGATATAATTCAGGATATTTAACAGTATTGAACAGCTCACAAGAAATTAAACAAAAGTGGATATTTAAAGATTAAAACCCTTTATTCCCATGTGATTGTTTTGCATATTTCCCCACATGTCATAATTTAACACTACATTCCTTGTTTTTCTTAAATAAAATACTTTGCAGGTTGTTTTGAGTATTTAACATATTTTGTAAGCTGCCTGGGTTTTCCTAAGGAAACGACCTTTAAGAAATAGAATTAGTTTATGAAGAGATTAAGTGAAATTCCATCACCACCACCAGCAAACACTGAGGTGCTGTGTTAATTGACAATCAAAATAGTGAGTATTTACAGAAGAATTTAGAGAGTGGTTTTAAAGAAGAAATTGCTTTGTAAGCAGTTCTCTGGGTTTCTTGAATAAAAATGGCTAAACGTATTTATTTATATTTTTAAATATCTGTGTGTTCTGTTTTCTATCAGTGATTTCAGTGTCATGTATTTAATTTGTGGTTTGTTTTGTTTTGCCTTGTACTTTTTATACTAGAGAACTGGCTCTTCTGATGTGGGCGCAGTCTCTAGCCCTCAGAGGACTCTACATGGGCATCCAAATCTGTTCTCCTGCAGGGCGGCAGTGGGAGGGCCCACATCCAGGTGCCTCTGCACTGCCCTCCTGTGCTCAACTTAAAAGTAAAGGTAACTCCTTTCAAATTGGCTTCATAGAGCTCCAACCTTTTTCTAGTTTTACGTCCTGCCTTTTCCATTTGGGGGACGCTTTTTATATTACAGCCAAAGGCCAGTATGACAGAACCAATGGCACACATTGCCTGTTTTGCCCACTGGGGAAATGTTAGTGAAGCGGTCAGCATCTTCGAACGGCCCCTACTATCATATCTATATGAAAGTCCACTTAAAGTCTAATACAGGTGGGAAATGTATCCGCACTGCAAACTCTTCTACGAAAAAATGTTTGCTGTCTATACTGTAATGTTGCTTGGTCCTTTGAAAACAATAACAAAACCTCCACGCACAGCACTGCTCAGTAAAGTGGTGTTTGAACATTTGAGGCCTAGACATTTGAGGATACTTCTAGCTGGAATGTATTGGAACAGAATTCTCTAGGTTCCCACAGGTCAGGCACAGGAGATACTGTCTTAACTTTTGGGATCTCTTAAATGGTCATTAAAGCAAGCTGGACTTAATGATGTAAAATATGTTCCTTAACTCCGAGAGTTCAATTGAAGATGTGTTTTCAAATGTATGCTTTTAAATTTCTGAGGAAACAAACTGTGACATCGCTTTAAAAACGACATTCAGATGTTTCATAATAGATGTTTTTGAGTTGGCCTATACTGGTACAAATTCACTGCTGGTAATGCTTGTGCCAGAACTGGTGTTAAAATATGTAGGAAAAGCTATATTATCTTCAAGTTGATGTTATTATATGGCTAGACAATCATCATCAAGCAAAAAGAAAGAAATTGGCCGGGAAATGTCTTTACTTTTTCAATAGCTATCAACAGCTGCAACTTAGACCTTTCTAAAATAATTTTGAGAACTATCTGACTGTGGTGTAAGTTGGGAAAGGATCTCTGTATGGCACTTGCATATTTACTCTGTGTAAAGATTGAAGCCCAAAGATGAGTTAAATTCAGTGCTGTATTGAAACCAGTTAGTGCAAAAAAGTTTTATCTTTGTAAATTTTTAATTGTTAACACCAGTTGGTAGCTGTAAAAACATACACCGAATTCTTTCTAATGTTCTATGTGCTACATTGCTGTCCTTACTGCTTGGTTCTTGGTTTTAAATACAATTTTAGATTGTAGCCTAACATTCTTACTTCTGAAAGGGTAGAGCTATAAATGGCTGATATTGACATAGAATACCTCTTTTTCCTACAGCAAACATTGAACTGAAATCCAAATTGATTTTTAAAAAACAAGACTGACATTTCCCAGGTATTGTCTTTAGCTCAAATCCTAAATTTCATAGAAGGGATAATGAATGGTTTCAACGGTGCTGAACCTATCTGTGGAAATATTATGTAAACTGTGGATCATTCTGTCACCCATTTAATATTGCCATTTTAATTTGGTGTTACAATTGTTTACACTCTTTTTTCAAAGCTATCCTTTCAGAGGTAAAAATGTGTTACTAGTCTACATTCCCTCAGACCTGTCACTATATGATCATTTTTCCAGGTTATGATGTGCAGTTTTTAAAACTACATGTACTATTTTAATGCTCTTTCTCATATTTGTGTATTCAGAACCGAAAATTACAGCAAAAGAGCCAAGCAGTAGCATTGTTGTGTTTATTTTTTTTTTTTTTTGTAAATGTAAAAAAATTAGGTCCAGACTTTGTTTCCTTATTCAATCTTAAAAATAAAAAAATACCTCAGTATTGTTTTCAGTATCACCTGCATTTCTCAAAAAATAACATTTGCTTTATGTGGCACTTAACTTGTAAAAATTACATTATTTTGGATTTTAAAGAGAAGAGTATTAAATATTTTAAAATCACTACCAATGAAATTTTCCTTTTATTCAGCAATGGAGTCTGCCTACATTGATTTCTACTTTGCAGCTTAGATCTGAGCTACCAAATTCAGTAATGTCCCGTTACAAGATTGTGGTGCCTCAGAAAGCTATGCTATTATTCACATGTTAAGCTAATCCTAAAACCAGGCCGCCTGCATTGCCAAATTTGGGCTATGATGATACAAGCTACTAACAAGGGATTGTCTTTCTATCCTTGGAAAAGATCATAGTTCCTCACTTGTTCTGTTTATAATGATCTAAGGCAGGATTAGGGGTATCTACTGCAGAGATTGATTGGACAACCTGGAATTCTTTAGTCTAATTAGCAGACATTATTTTCTACCTTTGTAAGGAGTCCTCTACCTACCATAAAGTTTCAAAACTTGACTTTTTCATCAGTATGTGCTGCTGCTACTTTCTAGCTGGCAGCTACTTTTAGCTCTCTTCCCAGTAGCAGTTAGCTGTCTTCCCCACAAAGTTACAAGTGCAGAATGGTTGCTATATTGACACTGCTACTGCTGGGTGATTCTATTGTATGCAAGATTAGATTCTTTCTAAATCTCTTCAAGTTACAAATGTACTATCTGCTCAAGTCACACAAGGAATATGTGGGAGTTTCTCTAGACTGTCCTTTGGGTTTAAAGAGGCGATTAATGGCAATATTACTGCATATCCTATCTCAGAGAGGGAATATGCTGACCTTCACACCGTCACAAAGATGGTGGTGCCCACAGCCAATAAGGAGGGAATATGCCAATTGACTGCCCCACTCTCAAAGAGGGTGGTGCCCAGTCCCCTCAGCCCCCTTGGGGTGGCAGGCCGGCCCGGCCACTCCATGCACCTGCCTCCAGAGTCCCCCAGCCTCCCAGGGTCGCCCAAGGCTTGAGCTGCCAGTGGCAGCAGCAGAGGTGTGATGGGGCATCACCTTCCCCTGATCGCCAGGTCACCTCCTGCCCCTGAGGGCTCCCAGACTGAGCGGGGCAGGCCAGGCTGAGGGACCTCCCTCCAGCGCATGGATTTTCATGCTCCAGGCCTCTAGTGGTAATGGAACATACCAGGCTGGGAGAAAGCAGTTCTGCTGCTGGGATGGGTCAGAGTGAGTAATCAAGTTAGAAAATACTTAATGACAGAGACATGATTAAGGATTCTAGAATTAAACCGAATTGACTCCCTAGTCTATCATGTAACATCGGGTGAACTTTCATCTCATAGAACTATGTGAGGGTTAAGTAAGAGTGCTTTAGAACCATGCGTGACCTGTTATTTTATATCAACTCTCGAAACTGGTCTGTAATTCCCAATACTTAGATAAACTTGTATAACAAAAGGGAAAACAAGCACTGGTCATACCACTTTTATTTACATTTTATCTGTTACACTGTTTATTCAATATAGAAAAAATATGAATACACTTATAGTATTCTCCTTTAATTTGGTAATTCCACATTGTCAAATATTGACTCTTTTATATTGGGTATTCTACCCAATTTTTAAAAAAGGAAGGATGGCCTGGCAAACAATTGTCATCATGTTACTGAAATAGCAGTACAGTTGTCCTTTGGTGTCTGAGGGGTTTGGTTCCAGGACCCCTCCCCTCAACCCCAGGGACGCTCAAGTCTCTTATACAAAATGGTGGAGTATTTTCATGTAACCTACTCATATCTCCTTTAGGTCATTTCTAGATTATAGTACCTCATACAATATAAATGCTACGTAAATAGTTGATACACTAAATTTTAGGGAGTAATGACAGGAAAAGTCTGTACATATTCAGTACAGACACAACCTATCATTTTGGGCCTAACTACAGAATATACATTAGCAACAATGTAACATTTTTTCAAGTATTTTTAATCAGTGGTTGGTTGAATCACTGGATATGGAACCTGTGGAAAAGCTAATTAATACACACTTTTCTTGCTCTCTTTTTTTCTTCTTTAAACAACTTAATTTTGAAAAGACTTAGGATTAAATGGCTGCTTACTGGCTTGGAGGAAAAATTCTAAGATAAACATCTTAAAGCACCTCAGTGATTCAGGAAAAAAATGTACATATTCCTTACAAACTAGTCAGTGCTGAAAAGGGAAATCAAATGGTAGACCCCACTGCACAATGGTTCTGTATATACTGCCCCCCACCAAAAGCAAAAGGAGTCCTTAAAACCAGGGTCACATTAACATGATTATCCTAGAGAGAAGAAAAATCCACACTTAGACATCAGGTTTCTTTTAAAAATCCATGTTGCAAATAGAATCAATGATTATTTCTTTTGGACATCATAATAACTCATTGCTATAAAATACAGTATTTTCCATCACTGTTAGTTTCAATGTACACTATGTACATAAACACAAGAGTTACATGAATATAAAGCTTGTTAAAAACCAGAATCAGGACTTATAAATAGTGCAGAAAATGCGAATGCCAAAAATACGATGCCTCCTATGATTGTCACTGCAAGAGAAGAGAAAAAAAGTTAAATCATGCAAAATTCCTCTGAGGAAGACAAGATGTTGCCCATCATTTTCCCAGTCAAGTAAATTAACCTTAAAAACAAATTAGAAAGCTTAGACCAGTGGTTCCCAACCTTTTTATGGTCATGACCCACCTAAGCATCTCTAAAATCCTGATGCCCCCTGTGACACATAATCCTTATTATTTAAAAAGTGAACTCCTATTCACATGGAGGAAGCCTAAAAGGCCATTAACTTGGTCTAAACATGCATCCAAAGAACATAGCATTCATGAAAAAGGGGGGAGGGGGGGAAAGGACAGCTGAAGTACTGAGGAAGAAATCACTAAGAAATTGTTAAAAAAAAAAAAAAAAAATGAAGTGATATGAAAAAATAGCAAATAAAATTCCAAAACAAAACTGAAATGCGTAAATGTCACTATATATGCACATACTGTATGTGAGGCCCCTAGAACCATAAGAAATGCAAAAAAAAAAAAAAAAAAAAAAAAAAAAAAAAAAAATCGCTGTTAACTCATTCTCAAATTGACCCCCTTAAAAATTAAATTGCCCCCCTGTGGGGGGGTGCCACACATTGGGAACCACTGGCTTAGACCCCATTTCCACAGCAAAGAAACACTTAACCTGCCTGACTTTGAATAGTAAGAATTAGTGTCTTCTCCAGCACTGCTTTGAGAAATGATAGAATTGTACTGATGAGCAACAGAACTCATCTTAAAACCCAGTTATATAAGAGCACAGCCAATAACTTCTGGCTAGCAAAGAACCATCTTTTGGGCCTACCAAGTATGTATGAAATTTTCAACAGAATCAGTAAATACAGTCTTTACCTATGGTTCCCAATCTTGTAACACATACTTTTAGGCCCAAAAGTTCTATTTCCACATCATGGCTGTTTTACTGCAAATTAATCTTAACAAAAAGCTACCATGAATCCAGTAATGCTAATGGATGAATTTGTATTTTACATCTACACATGTGAGTCCATGTTTGCAAAAGTAGGGGCAACACAATGGACCTCTTAAAGAGATTTTTATTACAAAGACCAAGTCTACTTCAGAAGTAAAAACATTGAAATAATTAAAATGAACTGCCCCTTTCCTTTCTGAGCTCTCTCAGTGATTCCAAGAATTAAGACATGGCATTTTCTTTGTAATTAAAAGAAAAACAAAACGTACCAGTTCTGACAGAGATTTTCTGTGCTATCATTCTTCCTCCAATTACAGCCAATCCAGTGCATAAGCAGTGTCCCACTGTCCCTCCAACAGCTACACCATAGGGATCCTGGAAGCAAAGTAACATTAATTTAAAACCAGCATTGAAACTGTTACCTGAGAAAGGTAACTAAGCATTGAAATGGAGGTCAAAACTCAAAAAAGCACAAAATCATTCTAAGAATTATGATGTAGACTCATGAAACTATAATAGCTGCCTGAAGGAATATGTTTCAATTATACAAGGACTAGAGAGAAAAGAAAAAAAATGTGCAAAATAAAAACCCTCACCCAACCTTTCAGCTGTTATTAAACTTAATTCACAGTCAGATTTCTCCTCCAGAAGGCAACATCTGTTTGTGGGGAAACTTGGTAACCTTTACAGTATAGTCTGACTATGCTTCCTAAGAACAGAGCCCTGTCCCCGATTCTCCACTGTGTCCTCAGGCATGGCACCCAAGTGTCTCAGTTACAGTTCTGTGGATAAATAATACCAATGTGATTAAAAAGGCAGAGGAAGCGATGGAGAAGGGGTTTATGGATGACACGAGGAGAATGTCAAGAGTCAGTTAAGTTCCATGGTGAAAAGCTATGGGGTTGAATGTAAAAACGCTGGGAGAATGCAGAGGATGTTAGCAAGACTGAAGGGATGACAGAGGAAGACAATGAGATGGCCAAGCAAATAGCCTCCTAAGATAAGCAAAGCGGGACCTGTCGAGTGCTACAATGAACTCCAAGCACTATATGAACATTACCTGTGAGGCCCACTCTCCTGTTCTCAGAAGGTGTTTCAAAATGTCTCCATCTCCTTAGGACATGTGGGCTGCCTGGGGATGGGTGGGAATGAAGTAGAATGATTTCCACTTCTCTCTGAAGTGGTAAGTGAGGCTGTGAGGAGTATGCAGAAACTAAGGAAATGGAGACATTTTGAAACACCTGCTGAGAACAGGAGAGTGGGACTGCTTTTCCCAAAATGTGTAGTACAACTTCTAAAACTGGTAAGCCAGAAGACGCTTTCATTCTATTTGAAAGCGATGTTTGGCCCAAATGGCGTGACTCAGTGGTTGAGCGTTGACCTATGAACCAGGAGGTCCGAGTTCAATTCCCAGTTAGGGTACATGCTCAGATTGTGGGCTCAATCCCCAGTGTGGGTGTGCAGGAGGCAGCTAATCAATGATTCTCATCACTGATGTTTTTCTCTCTCTCCCTCTCCCTCTCCCGTACTCTCTGAAATCAATAAAAACATATTTTTTTAAATTATATTTGAAAAATCACTGGATTAAATAAATAGTTCCTTTAAAAAAAGATTTTTTGGTATTTGTTATTTTGTACAATCTTCAAAACAAGAAAAACAGGATGTATTACTGCCAAATTTAGTTGACCCTAGAACCTTCTAATTTTTATTTATTTTTTTTGCTTAGTACCCATTAACATGTAAAAGGACAACTAGGTTTCTGTGGAATCCAATATGGGAACACTACATTATGTTGGAAACAGAAATGAAGTTCAGACTTAAACCAGCTGAACTAGAATACATGGTTTATACAAAAAATTACAACGAAAAAGTTAAGGGGACAAAAACATATATCCCCACGGTGCTGGTAGTGTGGAAGGTGGCTAATATTGAGTGCTCACTGTGTTGGGGACCCTACATGCATTATACTGTTTCACAGAACAACCCACAAAATAGGTCACAAGGAGCTGCTGTGGAAATGGGGTCTTATAGCAAAAGACCAAACTCAGTCAGCATGTGCCACACGCTAGACCAAGGTAACTCAGACAGAATCCTGAGCCTTTCACAAGCCACTGTGCCATCAGATGGCAGTGTTCAGAACAGCGCAATGATTCTGTCCTGATAGCCCACCCACAGGACTGCCACCTCCACAATGAAGTGGTCACTTTCAAGTCAATAAAAGAGGCCAATAAAAGAGGCTGGAGATCAAGGAAATGATAGAGCAAGGCCAATAAAGTGACATTTGAAAAGAAAGTTTGTTTTAAAATATAGGAATCTAACAAAAAGCCAAATTCTATTATTTTCCCCCCAAATACAGCATTTTTGAAGCTCCTCTGCCCCAAATATCTCAGTCCTTCAACTCCTATTCTCTATCTTAACTGCAGTTTTTGTTAAGGAAGCTGTTCCTTTATGGTATTTCCTAGGAATGAAAAACATGGTAAACAAGCTAGTTATCTAAATCCTACCATCAGATAAAAATATGTAATTTAGCTCTGTTTGGCGTGACCTAGTGTCTGAGTGCCGCCCATTTGATTCCATCAGAGCAGGTGCCAGGCTGTGGGCTTGATTGCCCAGTGAGGGCCATGCCGGAGGCACTGATGGATGTTTTTCTCTCGATATTTCTATCTCTCTCTCCCTCTCCCTTCCTCTTTCCCTAAAATCAACAAAAACATTTTTAAATAAACACAAAAATCTGACAAAACAATGCAATTTAACAGATAAACAATTTTACTTAATATCAAGAAAAGCATGAAAAGTAGCAGTAGCACATTCTGAAAATTCCACAACCATCTCCTCAGCTGATATCAATAAACCTGAATATTCATGTAAAACTTAAGAGAGAGATTAAAATTTTTTTAAAACCAGGTATCTTTTAAGTAAGTAGCTTTTGATAACATTGAATAAGACATGGTGGAAAAGGCTAGAAGACAGCCCGGCCTTGGCTCTGTCCCTGCTTCCCTGCTTCCCACTGGTGCATGTCCTCTGACAACTTGCCCCATCTCAGGGCTTCTGGTGGTGCATCAACAAGCAAAGGCTAGACACAGGATCTGAGATCTTTTTGGGCTTTCCATCCTAGGACTAAGACTTAAATTTTCTAAGTCAAGTCATCTCTGCACAAGGAACGGAAGAACCCAAAAATACCCACTTTTATGGTTTTAGGTATTTAATGACAAACTGACCTTCAAAAATTATATCAATTTATATTGTCAGCTATACAAAGAAAAGTTCTGAGAGAAGAAAGCCAAGCCAAGACAACTGACACAGCATCATTCTGGCAAAACTGAAGATGAATCAAAAAGAGAGCAATTAAGTTTGCACATAAGAATACCATCTCTCTGACTGGAGAAACTGGGAGATGGTGCACTTTTAAAGAGCAGCAGGATTACTGGCTGAAATAAATTCTCTAGCATATGAAATAACCCTGACTCTGACCAGTGTGCTCTGCAGCGAAGGAACATCAGTTATGTGCGCTTACCTCTCTAGCTGCCAAAACAATGGTAGTTAGTTGAGAGCGATCGCCCCACTCTGCTAAGAATGTTAATGTAAGTGCTTGTACAAAGATGGGTGAGATAAAATGCAGCCACTTCTTCTGAGGTATCGTGCTTGTCCCTGTTTCAACATCTCCTGGTCCATTTAAGAGTTTGGTTCGTTGAAACTAAATTTAAAAAATAAACACAAAAAACCATTGATCCCAGGAAGCAAACAAACCTGAACAAAATTACTTAATCTTTCTTTAAAAAATGTGTTTGTTTTTAAAGATAATTCTATGGAATATTCTCCAAGAAACTAAAGTTATGACCCCAAACTTATCTTTTGAATTACTGTCTCACACAGCAACAAATAACATATTCTCAATGCTTGCATTCTTCCCCCAGCAAATCAAACAGTATTTACTGATCCTTTGCTAGCTTAGATACTGTAGGGAAAAGCAGTTCCTGCTTTTTCGGAAGTTTATAATTAATTAAGGAACCTGATTCCATACATTTAGTATTCACTACATTCACACTAACCCAAGAAGAGTCTCATCTCACCCAGGTATTAATGAAAACTAAGCAAACTAAGCTATTTCTGTGAAAACCACACATCACCTAGCCATGGATGACCACTGAGAAATCTCTGGACAGTTTCTTCTCAGTTGAGTGCCTTTTTGATTCAGACATTTAACAGTGCTACAACTTACTTCTTCATCTTTTTTCTTTAATTCTGCTTGAACTTCTTCCAGTTCCTCTTGACCTTCATCTGGACTCATCTTTAAGCCTTCCCGAAGCATGCGAATGCCAAAAATGGCAAATAATGCGGTTGAAACATAGTAGGTATACACCCTGGGGATGACTGTGGTGGCATAGCCAAACAAAACTGGAAGAAAATGCCACGGTATATCTGGTTAATTAGCAAATATCTCAGCCTTCAAAAACCATAATTTATTTCTGTTCTAAAAGAATAGTATTTGTATTAGAAGCTAATGTAATGCATAATAACCTTAAATAATTCCACTTCTTCCCCTTCTCCAATATTGAACCCTGAGGTCTAGCCAGTGACCTAAGATAGATTATCGAGAAATCAGTGTTCCTTGCCCACCCAGCATGAATCTATGGTTAAGCATTGACCTATGAACCAGGAGGTCAGGAGTCAATTCCCAGTCAGAGCACATGCCTGGGGTTGTGGGCTTGATCCTTAGTAGGGAGCATGCAGGAGGCAGCCAATCAACAATTCTCTAATCATTGATGTTTCTATCTATCCCTCCCCTTTCTTCACTGAAATTAATATATTTAAGAAAAAAAAAATCAGCATTCCAATTGAAGATAGCACATGTTCCACAGAACTCCCCTCTAGACATGTTTACTACTTTAGGCAGAAGGTTAACTTTGTTGTCCTCTAAGGATCCTGAATCTTATATAACCTGAAAGCTACACCAAGTTCCCACAGAAGTGCTATTTTTTCATCGAAAATCTTTAAATTATAAACTTCTATATTGATAAACTATAACAAGATTCTCATAGGGCATGATTTAAACTCTGCTCCTTTGTAGCTATTTAAAATAAATCTCATAAAAGAAAATGAATTCCTTATACTTATATTAAAATAACATTTATAATGAACCCAAACTTATTCAATTCCATTCTTTTCCATTGTTAAGAGGACAATTATGTAAGTTATACAAAAACTATACTTGGACCTGCAAGACCCAAATCCTGCCCTGGCCAGGCGGCTCAGCTGGTTGAAGAGTTGTCACATGCGCCAGGCTTGCAGGTTTGACTGCCAATCTGGGCACATGCAGGCGTTGACCAACGAATGCATACATGGATGGAACAGTAAGTTGATGCTTCTTCCCCCCCCCCCCACTCCCCCACCTCCTACTCCCCACTTCCTCTTCCTCTCTCTTTCAAACCATTCAAAAAAAACACACACAAATGAACAAAAACTATCCCAAATCATAACTGGGAAACACATTAGTATCAGTTCAGTAATTAAAATTTTTAAAATATGGAAAGGGGAAAAGAAAATATGGAAGGGCCAAAGAACATTTCCATATATATAATAAATATAATTACTCTTCCTTTCTAAAATGGGTACAACACTTATAAATCTGCCTTAACAAGCATACAACTACATTAAGTGAACTAGTCCCTATTTAATTATATTACAAAATTGAAAAATAAATTTAAATCCTGTTTAGAAATGTGCCAAACCTATGCTGATGTGTACATCTATATTTGAATTATATATGTGTTAGTACACACACACACACACACACACACACACACAGATGTATTTTCTAGATCTGTCCAATAAAAGGCCTAGCAAAAACATCTCAGTAACAGAGCCATTTTTCACCTAGATCTTGTGGGGGTTTTTTAATCTCTCTACTTAAATGACATCTCATCCCTGGGTTTGCATTCTGTGTAGCTCTGCCTCATCTCCACCTTGATAAATGGTGACTTTGGGGTAAGAATCTAAAGCCATAAACGTATTGAGTTGTCTTGAGAAAGGGAACGAGTTAGGCCCACTCTACTCACAGGTCTTACAAAACACCTGTAGCAAGCAGCGCCTGAAGGTGGCCAGAACATGGTGGCTTCCCATGGCTGGTGGGGAGCAGGAGGAGGATGCATTGTCTTTTGAGAATCAAAACCAATGATAAAATAGACAAAGGACATTTTTATTATCACTATTCATGGCAAATTTGGACAATGTCAATGACAAGCTCCTCTCTCTGGGTCAGGTCTCTGGCCTCACTGCTGGAGATACACAAAGATCTCTCTGGAGCTGGAGTCAGCAGACATGGGTTAGGTCCTAGCCCTGCTGTCAGTCCCTGCTATACCCAGATCTTGGTTTCTAATACCATTCCCCACTAAAAGGCTCCTCAGAGAAATGGCTAATTCCAAAACTGGACAGAGAAGATACAAGATGAGCCTGCACTATCGTGTTTATACTAGAAAGTAAGAACAAAATAAACAATGAGAACATGTCACAAGAACAAAAGAGCCAGTCTGGAGGGGCCCCAGCCACCAAATCTGGGAAGATTTAAGCAACATTATAGTTAAGTAACCCTATCTAATAAGAGAGTAATATGCAAATTGACCATACCGCCACTACCAAGCCACATCAGCCAATAAGGAGCAAGTATGCAAATTAACCCAACCAAGATGGCTACAGCCATGGAGCGAGCAGGCAGCTTGGGTTTCTCTGGCAATGGAGGAAGCCAAGCTTCCTGCACACTAAGGCCAGCCCAGGCCTCTGTTCAAGACTATAAAATTTCAATTATAGAAGAGAAATTCCAGATATCAAGGACTCTGTGAGGCATGGCCAGTCTGCAAACCAACATAGGCCCCTCACCCAGGCTGCCCTACACCCCAAGGAAACCCCATTCTGATCCAGAACATCCTTCAGGGCAAACCAGCTAGTCCCCACCGTGTACCAGGCTGCTATCATAGAGTAATATGCAAATTGACCATCACTCCAACACCCAAGATGGCTGCCCCCATGTGGTCAAAGATAGATGTTCCCATGTGGACACAAGATGGCCACCACAAGATGGCCAGCAGGGGAGGCCAATTAGGAGGAATCAGACCTGCAGGGAAGGGCAGTTGGGAGGGACCAGGCCTGCAAGGGAGGGCAGTTGGGGGTGATCAAGCCTGCAGAGAAGTTGGGGGTGATCAAACCTGCAGTGGAGGACAGTTGGGAGGAGACCCAGGCCTGCAGGGGAAAGCAGTTGGGGTGACCAGGCCTGCAGGGGAGGGCAGTTAGGGACAAACAGGCTGGCAAGGAGCAGTTAGGCATCAATCAAGCTGTCAGGGGAGTGGTTAGGGGGTGATCAGACTGGCAGGCAGAAGTGGTTAGGGGCAATCAGGAAGGCAGGCAGGTTAGTGGTTGGGAGCCAGCAGTCCTGGATTGTGAGAGGGATGTCTGGCTGTCCATTTAGGCCTGAAACAGGCAGCCGGACATCTCTTGAGAGGTCCCAGATTGAAGAGGGTGCAGGCTGGGCTGAGGACACACAACCTCATGCACGAACTTCATGCACCGGGCCTTTAGTTAATTATAAACCACCGGAAAAAGAAAATTCATTAGTTTATACTGAAGACAAACCAACTGGAGGGGAGGAAGAGCTCTTTGTAAAGTAATATGCAGGGCTCACCGGTAAGTGCAATGGAGTACCGGCGTTAGAAAGCCCATTTTGCAAGTATCAGGGGAAGATTTAAATCATGTAAGGAGTCATCAACTGATGCTAAACTTAGGAGAATAAGGTATTTACAGTCTTAAAATGTTTCCCTAAGATTGCATATTAGTTGCAAAGGAAGAAAAAAAAGAAATCGTAACAGAGTGAATAAAACTAACATAATGGGGCCAGATAAGATGCTCTTATAAAGTCAAACCTCAGCTATGTAGAGTTCTAGTCAAGAACTAGTCTTAATAATTATTGGTGTTTTGAGTTTCTTAGGATATATTCATAGAAATTGGATTACTGTGTCAAATGGCAATTCTATTTTTAATTTTTGAGAAAACTCCATATTGTTTTCCATAGTAGCTATACCAGACTGCATTCCCACCAGCAGTTCCCTTTTCTCCACATCCTCCACAGCACTTGTCATTTGTTATTTGTTGATAGTAGCCATTCTGACAGGTGTGAGATGATACCTCATTGTTGATTTAATTTGCATCTCTCTGATGATTAATGACTTTGAGCGGTTTTTCTTTTTCATATGACTCTTGGCCATCAGAAAGAACGCATGCACCCCTATGTTCTTAACTTCCATACTCGACTCTTTCCTAAACTCATCTGCCTGAAAACATGTTTATAGTTAAGGAGTCAAGCAGGTTCTCCTCTCATGTCCTTTCTTCGCAGTTGTCCTCTGCCCACTTTACAAATATACCTTCATCCAACTTCCTAAGGTGCATTTCCCTGTTGTGTAGAAAAAGATATTCTAGGACACCGAAAGGGATTTGAAATATTGGTGTTCTCAATCCAGGCATCATAAACCAGAGATATGTCTTTGGGTCTTCCCTGTCTTATACACGTTTCTGGAAAGATCACAGCATTAGAAATAATGGCATTATGGTCATTGGAAATATTGGTTATGGCATCAGCAGAATATTTTGGCCTCAGTAGTAATAATTTTCACTAAATAACATGCCTTTATCATCCCCTGCCAGTGTAACAATAATTCATTTTCCCTAAGGCAGAGTCTTGTAATAACAAAGAGCATCAGAGACACTGGAGTTCCATGTCTTATTTCACCCAGGTGGCACACTCATGGCTAGGTTACATGCCAAGTTTATCCATCCATCCATGTTAGAATAAAATTCTAAAGTAGATAGTTGTCACGGGGATGTATATCCTGTTTATTTAAATTCAAAAGCAAAGTCAAATGCTTTCTATCAGAAAATAAGCCTGACTTAAATGATTTACTATGGATATACTTGAACTGCCACGGCAATTGGGTAATGTGGTAGATATTTTCCATAAACTGAATGTACTAAATCTACAGTTCCAAGGTCCCAGGAAAATATACTTAAAACATACAAAATTTAAAATGAAATATTTTATTGGCAAAGTACACTGAAATGAACAATATTGCTATTTTCACAACCATTTATAAATATAGTATACTCGGTTATACCAAGTACTTCTAAGTATAAGACTAATATGTATTATATAAGAACAGTCATTTGATAAATTTCAGAAAAACTTTGCATGCTTGGTTTCTAAATCTCTGCTTTCAACAAAATCAAAAGAAGTTATTAAGTTGTCAGCTGATAAATCATTAGATATCGTTTTTTATGATAAACCAACTAGTATGTAATTCTTAATATATAACCCAGGAGTTCCAATTTTATTCTACATGGTATAATAAAATTCCTTCTTATTTATGTGAATAAAATCTATCTGCCTTTATATCTATTTTTTAAAAAGATCAGAATTGATTCTAAACCTTGCTCTATAGTAGCAATAAGTTGTTATGGAGATATAAACTAATTTTATTATTTTTTAAAATTTTTTTTTGGGGGGTAAGAATCGCAGGGGTCAGCACATCCAGAGAGCAATGGATAAGCCTTGCCCTAGGAAAAATCACTTTTGTAAGCATGATATCTCCCCACCAGGTCAATATATATAAACTAATTTTAAAAATCATAATTCTGCCGAAACCGGTTTGGCTCAGTGGATAGAGCATTGGCCTGCGGACTGAAAGGTCCCAGGTTCGATTCTGGTCAAGGGCATGTACCTTGGCTGTGGGCACATCCCCAGTAGGGGGTGTGCAAGAGGCAGCTGATCCATGATTCTCTCTCATCGATGTTTCTGTCTATCCCTCTCTCTTCCTCTCTGTAAAAAAATCAATAAAAAAATAAATTAATAAATAAATAAAAATCATAATTCTATCGCCCTAGCCAGGTGGCTCAGTTAGTTGGAACATTGTCCTACACACTAAATGGTTGTAGGTTCAATTCTCAGTTAGGGCACATATCTGGATTGTGGGTTTTTCTCTCTCTCATCTTCCTTCTCTCTCTAAAATCAATAAATATGTGTCCTCAGATGATAATTAGAAACAAATAATAATAGTTGTATTATCTCCTTAAGAGACGCATTTCCAACTTTTAAAGAATGTTTAAATTTGTGATAGATTTTGCTTTGATCAACTATATACTAATAACTAGAACTCCAGTCATACAAACTGTTAACATTTAGAGACCTAAAGAAAATTTTCAGCATCTTTTAAAATTCACTTTATATTTTTGTTCAAAAATGAATATGACAGTGTGATCCAAAAATATTTTCAGGTAAAAACTTGTAATTATTAAAGTTCTATGGAAAAAGTAAATAAAAATAAAAAAAAAGAACAATGTAAATTTCCAAGTGTTAAAGGTTTACTTATGCTTTTTTAAAGGAATGATGGTGATAGTGGTTATCAAATTGCTAATCGTATTTAGAGTCCACTGGTTATGTTTTAAAACATGGGGGGAGGGAATATCGGGCCCACTGGCCATAAAGGGCCCTCAAAATCACTTGATCTGGCCCTTCCAGGGCATTAGGGTAAGTTAAATGTTTGACCAGATATAGTAAGTTAATTCTTTTTAAGTATTTATTTTTTAAAGTATTACATGTGTTCCTGCTAATTTTTAAGTTGACAATTTTGTATGGTTCATGAATGATGTTACAAATATCCAATGGCCCTTGGCAGAAAAAAGGTTCCGTTTTAAAAGAATGCCATACAGTTTTTGTTTACTATACCAGAAATTAGGTCTCTGCAACTCCTTAAGCTTAATATGACAAGTCTTAGATCACTCCCATGTGACAGGAGGTACATACTTTTCCAAAATTATTTGATACACGAGGAAAAAGTTTGAAGACCACAAATAAAAACCTATCCTTTCAATAGTACAGGTGATAAGAGCTGTCAGACAGCACCAGCAGCTACAGGGAGGTGGGCCGATGGTCAGGCAGGAGAGACTAACCCCACTTACAGCTGAGGAAAAGGAGATGAACACAAATATGGCAGAGAATTGATGGAGCCAGCTTCCGGTGAGGGAATGGGCAGAGAGGATAGCTTTCTAGTTAACTCAAAGCTCAAAGTTTCAAAAATAAAATTCTCTAATTTACTGAACCTCATTCCAAACAAGTAACTTTATATTTACAACCCTCTCCACTTTCCTATTTCCTATAATCAAAATTTACTTTTGAAGAGAAAACTGTTTTTATTGTGAAATACGAATAATGCTCATGCAAATTTCTAAAATATGAAAAGTAGTCAAATTAATTTAACCATTAAAATACTCATGTTTTAAAAGACATAAACTACTATCAGCATCAAGCAACCAGAAATGGAAATGGCTGAGGGAAGATCAGGGTGAATGACTGAGCACTTGTGACCCTATGAGGTAGGTAGATATTTCCATTTTACAGATGGGGAACCTGAAACTCAAAGATGTGCAGTAACTTACCATTATACTAATACATGACAATCAGACCCTGGACCAAGTCTGACTCTAAGGAGGAAGCTTACTATTTCTACCCAGCTAGGTGGCTCAACATTGCTTCTGAATCAGAAACTAAATTATGTCTAATTATTGAGTGGTAAGTTTTTTTTTTTTTCTCATGGTCTAATTCTTTGAAAAGCAAGCCTATGTAACAGCACAAAGTAGGAATCTAAGAGCGTTTCACTCCTTTACTATAATGGGTAACAACAGCTTAATAGAATACAATAAACCAAGAGTGATTCCTCAGTTATTGATATCAAATGTCCTTCAACAGGAGAATATGCAATTCTGTGTGGCTGCTTGAGTTCTACTTGTAAGATTTTAGACATAAAGAAGCTTATCTGGACTGAAAAGAGGTGGGGGGGGGGGGGGGGAGAAAGAATATACAGCAAAGGTAAGGATTCCAATCCAGTGAATAAATGAGGAGTATATATCTTTTTTTTAAATATTTTTTTTATTGATTTTCTACAGAGAGGAAGGGAGGGATAGAGTCAGAAACATCGATGGGAGAGAACTTCAATCAGCTGCCTCCTGAACACCCACACTGGGGATGTGCCCGCAACCAAGGTACAGGCCCTTGACAGGAATCGAACCTGGGACCTTTCAGTCCGCAGGCCAAACCAGTTAGGGCAGGAGTATGTATTTTAATTGAACAGCTGAACATTTAATTTTTAAAATGTAGTATAGTTTTCAGGAATTTAGGAACTAAAACCATTTTCTTTTTATAAAACTCTGGAATATGAATCAAATTCCATGATTAATTGAATGATTCAGTGACTCCATACCAAACACCATGTTGTTGCTTAAAACCAATAAACAAACTAGAAGGAAAAGCACACTTACTTACCTGATAAGCACGTCATTAAGCCCAAGGCAAGCATAGCACCAGCCAACACTGTCAAACGGTTATAGCGCATTGCCATAATGGCTGCTATAAAAAATGTCTTATCACCCAGTTCAGATACAATGATAACTGATATGGCAGCAACAAATGCATGGATAAACCCCAAATTAGTTTGGGTGTCTGTATCTTCTTTATTAGTATGAACTGGGACAGCTGGTGTGAGTCCTTTCTGAAATAAAAAAATATATATACATCAGCTATTTTTTAAAAATAAGTAATTATTTACAATTCTTTTATTTTGTATGTGAATTAAGATATTTTTTCTGTCATGGTCATTAGACTTATTTTCTGTGTAATCATTTTGAAAACCATTAGTAATGACAGAAACCTCTAATTGATAATTGCTACAATGCAGATCCAAGTACAATTCTACAAAACAGTCTATACTAATAAAAGAGTGAGGTGCTAATTAGACTGTACTTCTTCCAGAAGTCCTTCCTGATAAAGCCAGGGGCTTGGCCGGCCTGCAAACTGCAGGTGGCCCCTCGCCCAGACCAGCCCCGCCCCCAACGAGGATCCCCCCACCCTAATTGGGGACCCCTTTCAGGGCAGGCCAGTTGGCCCCCACCTGTGCACCAGGCCTCTATCCTATATAATTAAAGGAAAATATGCAAATTGACCCTAAGGGCAGAACAATCAGAATAACAGCTGGACCAGTCACTATGAGGCACACTGACTATTTCTTGGTTCCTTTCACTGGCTTGCAGGCTCCCATCACCTGATGGTCACCCACTTGGGGGGAGGGCGCGCGGGAAGGGGGAGCAGCAAGTGGGCGGAAACAGGACCTCTCAGTCCCTTCCCCCAGTTGCCAAGCACCAAACACCAGGGAACCTTGGTGGGTAGCAGGGGGTCGGGGCCAGCCGTGGACAGCTGTGAAAGATGGCCCTGATTGCCGGCCAGGCCTAGGTACTGTACCCATGCATGAATTTCGTGCACAAGGCCTCAGGTTTTAAATAAGTGTAGATCAACTATATCCACACATTGAAATTACCTTCTTTTCTAAGAATTTGTGAGCTGAGATTAAGTTCTTAGCTTTTTATTTGTAACAGGTGTGAAAGACCAAGGTATGCTTATCAAACATCCAAATAACAGGAAGCTGAGATAAATTTCATTAACACTTTAGAAGAAAGAGTATGATTCAGAAAGCTCTCAATAAGCTGGAAAAAGAATTGACTGTAGCTAAGATGTCTAATACAGCTGGATATGTTGATGGTCCTACACCAGTGGCCGGCAAACTGCAGCTCTCGAGTCATGTGTGGCTCTTTGGCCCCCTGAGTGCAGCTCTTCCACAAAATACCACGGCCTGGGCGAGTCTATTTAGAAGAAGCTTAAGTTTAAAAAATTTGGCTCTCAAAAGAAATTTCAATCGTTGTACTGTTGCTATTTGACTCTGTTGACTAATGAGTTTGCTGACCACTGTCCTACACTAATGGCTAAAATTATCCCAAGAGATAATATGTCCTGATAAAAAGAAACAGTGCTTTGGTTGACATTTAAGTTGAAAACGTAACAAAGTTCCAAAAGGGCAACAAGCACTTTAAGCACTTCAACACAGCAGTCGCCAACTGGTGGTCTGTGAGGTCCAAAAGGTTGGCTGCTTTAAAGAGTTAGTGAGCATTCTACGATGCTCATTCTTTACCCAAAGTTGCGTACTGGTTCTGAGACACTACATTTTAAATATTTTATTAATGTTACAATTTAATTGATACTAGTACCGGCTTTGAGGCATTTTAAGAAAAACTAATCCTAAAATTTATATGGAACCACAAAAGTCCCTGAACAGCCAAAGGAATCTTGAGAAAGAACAAAGTAGGGATCACAGTTCTTGATATCAAACTATATTATAAAACTACAATAATTAAAATAGTATAGTACTGGTATAATTACACACACACACACACACACACACACACACACACACACATCAATGGCATCAACCAGAAATAAATCCTCATTTATTCTATAACAAGAGAGGCAATAATATACAATAGGGTAAAGATAGTCTCTATAATAAGTGGTGCTGGGAAAACTGGACAGATACAAGCAAAACAATTAATCAAAGATATGATTCATTCATGCGCATGCACAGACACAGGCATATTATGAAATCTTGTCATTTGTGACAACATGGATGGACCTTGATGATGATATGCTAAATGAAATAAGTCAGACAAATACTGTATGATTTCACTTACTTATGGAATCTAAAACAAAACAAAAAATATATCTATAGATTGAGAACAAGTTGATGGTTACAAAGGGAGAAGAGACTAAGATTATATCTATATGTTATCTATCTATCTATCTATCTATCTATCTATTTTATCTATCGAAACCAATTCCTTATAAGCTCTAAATCTTCAGATAGGTCTGACCAGAAGTGCCCTGCATTTACGCATTCACTACCTACAAGTATAGAGTTAACTGCTATGGGGCAATCTCTGACTGATGAGGGAAGTTGGTTCTGAGGTTCATTTTATAAGGCTCCTTCAAAATCTCGGCAGAATTCAGTACTATCACTCATGCAAAGGCGAACTTGAAAATGCATTAGAGTACATGCATTTACCTCCTTCCCTGGACTGACAATGTGAAAGAATACTGACATGTTCTGAGAACAGGAAGCAAACCTTCAGATGAATGGTTGGGGTAACAAGCTACATAAGGGCTAGACTAAAAATCCTGTATGGTTATGGCCCAGCTTAGAGGCAAGCAAGAAGCCTTTAAAAGTTGAGTAGAAGACACAAACTTAATTAAAGCACTGTGACTTATACATCAGGGCTAAAAATACCAGCCACCAGACCAACTAATTAGGAAATCAGCTGCTCAAAACCAATGTTAATAATAGGGAAAAAAATTATCTACATTATGGAAAGAGGGTCAACAGAACTTTAAAAAGAGGGGAGAATCAAAGATGATGGTTAAGGTTTTCTATCTGGTTGACTAAGAGAAATACTAGTATTCCTACAAGGTATGTGGGAAAGAGAAATAAAAATAAGCGGTTTGGTTTCAGACACATTCAATTTGAGGTGATAAAAAAGCATTTCAAATGAAGGTTTCCAAGAAGTCATACAAAGGAGACCCCCAAGTTTAGCCTCAGGGCATGTATTTGGAAGCCTAAATTTATCAGTTAGAGCTTTGCAAGTAGATGAAATTCCCATGGGAAAAGGCCTAGAGATTAAGTTGAAAAGCCTTAGGGACTGTCTATTTTTAGGGGAAAGAGAGTTAGGAGAGGGGGAGAGGAAATAGGGTTAGGAGAGGGAGAGAGGAGAGAGAGAGAAAGAGAGAGAGAGAGAGAGAGAGAGAGAGAGAGAGAGAGAGAGAGAGAGAGAAAGTCAGTCTTAAATATCTAGAAAGCCAGGTCAGAGATCACCACAATTGGTCAAGATAGAGACAAACACCATTCACTGAGTTACTACCCTGTTTCCCTGAAAATAAGACAGTGTCTTATATTAATTTTTTCTCCCAAAGTTGGCTAGGTCTTATTTTCAGGAGATGTCTTATCTTTCCATGCGCTAGGTCTTATTTTTGGAGGATGTCTCACTTTCGGGGAAACACGAAATCAATCAGATGACAGGTATTTTCATATACATTATTCAAATACTCAAAAACCTTAAGAACTGTTATCCAATTTAACACAAGATGAGTAACTGAGGACCAATAGTGTTAAATAATTTTTCCAAGTTCATACACCAAATATGGGAGTCCAACTCTTCAAAAAGTAGAGAGAGAACAGTGTCAAATTAGAACTGAAAAAGAGCCTCCCATTTAGCAATTAGGTAAGGTAAAATTATACTTCAAAAATGAAATTTCAATAAAAAGACAGAGCTCAGCCCTAGCTGAGTGGCTTAGTTGTGCAGCACTGTCTCATTCACCAAAAGGTTGCAGGTTTGATTGCTGCAAAGAGCACATACTCAGGTTGTGGGCTTGATCCCCGGTTGGGACACATATGGGAGGCAACTGATCAATGTTTCTCTCTCACACTGATTTTTTTTCTTCTCTGTATCTTCCCTCTCCCCCTCTAAAATCAGTAAAAACATATCCTCACATGAGAATTTAAAAAAAAAACAAAAACAAAAACAAAAACAAAAACAAAAACACAGGGGCTCAAGCCAGATAATGGAAGACTAAAGCAAAGTAAAAAAGCAGCTAATTTCCTAGATAAAAGAAATTTGGTTGATAAAACTGAAAAACAAAACTACAGCCATACCTCAGAGGCACTGTGGGTTCAGTTCCAGACTAGCACAATAAAGCCAGCCTCCCAATAAAGCAAGTTGTAATCTTTCTGCTGATGGAGGGTCTTGCCTCGAATTTGTAAAGAACACAATATCTGTGAAGCGCAACAAAGTGAAGCGCAATGAACTGAGGTATGCTTATAACGCAGTCAGGGTGACTTAAATTAATGGCCTCCTTCTTTTTCTTTCCCCAAGTAGGTAAGAACCTATGGGCATGTGTATGCAGAGAGGAACCAATAAAAAGATAAAGATATTGAGGAAGAAAAATACCAGAGATCAGGGAATAGACAAATGGACACAGAGAAAAGGTATGGAAAGGATGATAGTTCTGTCCAGTCTGAAGGCAGAAGGTATGGGCAGAGAAGCAAATAATAGATGTGTACAAGAGAGTCAGATACAGTGACTATCATTTCAATTCGGATACTCCACTCTTCAATTATAGTGTAATGAAATAGTAACAGAATACAGTGTTTTCCTTAGTACAAATAACATTTCATTATTTTAATTTGGGTCTAAAACCTAAAATATTTACATCTTGAAAGTAAGGTCAACAAATTAAAATTAGAAATTGACTTGTCTTTACTCAAAGTTAAAATTAATTCCAAATTGAAAAACTGTAAAAAGAAAAACATATGCTCACTTAGAAAGTATTCTTTTCTACTTTCATGATCTTCAAGGAAGAAAATGGCAGTCAACAATGAAAAATAATTCCTTCCAGTTCTAGAGTTCAAATGAACACATATGTTTGATTATGAAACAAAACAAGATACTTGCGCATCAGAATCTTCATCTACACAAAATACTAGGGAAGATGAAGATACTTTCTTAGAAAAGAGAATGATATCCCTGAAAAAAAAAACAAAAAACACAAAACAAAAAGTGCTCAACAAAAGTTACCACACAAGAGGTTAGGTTATTTAAGGATAAAAGAATCAGAAGGAAATGCTTAGAATTGGTTTAAAACTGTCTCCTAACCATTATAGTACTTTATTATAAGAAGCCAGAAAACCTTTTTCAGAAGATCAAAAGTGTGCTAAAAAATATACATTCAACTTCAACAATGACATCAGGGGTAAACCTGGATTTTAAAAATTGTATTACAACAAAGACTGTATTTTATTATAAATTTTCACTATCGGCCTGGCTGGCATGGCTCACTAGTTGAGCCAGGAGATCAGGGTTCCATTCTGTCAGGGCACATGCGGGGTTGCAGGCTCAATCCCCAGTAGGGGGAGTACAGGAGGTAGCTGATCAATGATTCTCTCATATTGATGTTTCTATCTTTTTCTCCCTTTCCGAAATCAATCAATCAATCAATCAATAAATTTTCTTTTTATGGATGGTTTAGTCTGTTTTTTAAATATTTTCTTTTTTATTAATGTTACTTGTTAATTCATACTAGAATAATACATATTTAACAAATACATTTTTATTTTAATGAATGTTTTAACAACTTTATTTTTATGAATATTGTTTGTAATGGACTTATAAATTTGTACATTTGAATGGTAATATGTGTTTCACTGATTTTAATGGATGGCTTTGATGGTAGAACACCAGGTAATGAATTTGGCAACATAATGTTCACTTCACTCTGACACAGCAATCCTGAGCAAGAAAAGCGTTCTCACATCTCATGGCCTCCATCTTAGCTACAAAGAGGCTAGAAATGGGAGACTGGACTGCATGAAGCAGAACTGTTAATTTAATGAAAATGAAAAAAAAAAAAAAAGCTCAAATATTGTGCGGAAGGCTTTCTCAGAGTTAAAAGATAATAAAAGAAATGCCAAGAAACAGTAAATATCAAGAATTTGTATTGGGTCAGATAACAGGCTTTATCATCAGTGCTACTTAACCAGAACAGTTCTTGGGACTTCCAGAATATACAGCAAATTAAAAATTACCTTTATTAAATCTATCTAACCTCCCTCAACTAAAAGGACTTAATGCTTCTTATATTATGTACTCAACCTAGGGAAGGAATAAGAAAAAAACTGAGTAAGTCACTAGAAGCATTAACTGCATAAGTGAATACAAATGATCAACCCTATTTCCATTTGTTTATACACTGGGGTTTAATTCTAAGTTCAGAGTGAACTCCCCCAACTTTTATCTGATCATAGAGAAAAAAAAAAAAAATACCCAAAGTAGAAAGCTGTTAGAAATTCAGTTATCTTGCTTCAAAACACCCTGTAAGATATAACTGCATTTTAATAATACATCTTACACTTGAATGATGATCATTAGAAGAGATCCCACCTCCCTTGACTTTCAGAAATCCACTCTCACAGTGGCATGAAAAGGGTAAGTTTAAACAGCCAACCCTTAAAAAATGTCTCCTAACATGCTGTAGTACTCTACATAGAGAAAGCAGTTGAGCCTATCAAAAAATTACATGAAAATATAACTAAAACAATTGGATTCTACTATGATATAGGAATTAGAATATATTCCTATCAAAAAATAACCACCAAGAATATATCAAAATATCGAAAGACAAAAATCATATATTGTGCCTGCCCCTTGCCTCCTCATCCACAATTTTAAAGATAAGGATCCATAAGACCACTTAAATATGCTCACTAGATACTGATGACTTTATTTTATAAGACTGGATTTTTTCACCCACATTGTCTAAAGGGTCTTATTTTGTATCTCAAAAGTCATGGTATGACTAAAACTGTAATGAAAGGCCTAGAAAATTACATTCAAAATATCTCACAAAGTTATTACTTAATAATTGTTTGGGGGGGGGGGAGGGGGGAAGAAACTCCCAATGAGTTAAATGACAGGAGACTAAATGATACACTCTGTAAGAATGAATGTCACGAATCAGCATTTCAGTTCAGTTTCAGACCTGGAAATGGCAAACAGGGTGAGCTAAAGCCCAGGAGTGAGGAGCCAGAGAGAAATCCCTTTGAGCGAGGCGGGGAAGTCCTGGCAGCCAGGAGGAGGTAACTGCTGGCTCTGGGAGGGTGGCCAGGTTCTAAGCGGCGGGCTCCACGCTCCCCGCAGCCTGTGCGGGGAGACCCTTTGTTGGAGAGACCTGCCCCCGAGCGCACATGGCAAGGTCTCCCTCCGGTTTGAGCAGAGCACGTGGGCCAGGGAGCGGTGACTAAGAAGCCTGGGGGTTGGCTGGAGCCAGATCCTTAAGAAACCTGAACATCCTGCTCAAGAGGCTTGGACTGAAATCGGCAGGCAGGGGCAACGCTGGGAAGATTTCCGAGAAGGAACACAGAATTCAAAGTTCAGGAAGATTCGCTGGGTGGTTCCATACAGCCTCGGGTGAAAGGGGTGGGGGTGGGGTCTGAGGGCCAGTCACAGGACGGAAGATCCGAATTCAGGAATTCAAACTGGAAAGGAGGAAGGAAGCCCAGGGCAGGTGTGTGGAGGAAATTTTTAAATTTTTAGATATAAGTGACTAAGCGGTCCTAGGAGCATACATTAAGACATTAATTAATACCTATTCAGGGAAGGCCAGGGGACAAGTCTGGGGTCCTCACTCACACGTTCAGCGGCGGCGCCCACCCCGCTACTCCTGCCCAGCGCTGCCCATCCCTCCGCGGGCCCCAGGGCCCCACGAGCAAGAGCACGCTTTTGAAAAAGTGCGCGTCACGCTGCAAAAATCCCAGGTACATTTGTCAAAGGACAAACAAAAAAAAAAAAAGCACGAGTCCTGCGAAGCTGAATCTGGGTCAGCGGTTCCAAGAATGAAAAGCCCGGCGTTCTTTCTCTCCTCAGAATACGAGAAGCCTCCCCGCCGCTGCCCTCGGGGTGAAACTTCCTACTTGGGGTGAGTGTTTCCCAGCTCAGCACTCCCCTTTCCCCCCCCCCCCCCCATCGGACCGACCAGGCTTCCCCCATTCCTCAGCAGCATCCCGGTCCTCCGATCCCAGAGGGCTCCGGCCCTTCCCCGCCGCACACGGAGCCGGGCGGGGCCCCGGCCTGACCCCGGAAAAGTGCCCCCGCCGCCGGCTCCCACCCCCGGGAGCCCGGCTGGAGGCTCCCCTCCCCCGCCGCCGGCGGCCGCGAGCCTGGTACCCGCAGCCCCGCCCGCCTCGCCCGCCCGGCCCGGCCCGGCCCGGCCGGCTCACCTCGGCCCGCGGCGGCTCGGGGCCCTGCGCGGCCACGGGCTGGGGCTGCAGCTGCTGCGCGGGCGCCGGCGGCTCCTTGTTCCGGAGGCTGTCTTCGTCGGGGGCCGCCCGGACCCGGGCCGGGGCCCACAGCAGCGGAAGTAGCAGCAGGAGCGCCAGCAGCCGGGGCGCTGAGGCGCGGCCGCTCCCCGGGGCCGCCGCCATCCCGCCCCCACCGAGACGGCCGCCGCAGGAGGAAGTGTGGGCGCCGGGAAGCCGCGACCCCGACTCCCTCCGCGGCGCCGCCCCGCAGGCCTCGCCGCCGCCGCCGCCGCCGCCGCCTACGGACGGCTCGGCACCATGCGGGAGGTGGCGGTGGCGTCCACGGCCGTCCCGCTCGCGCTTCCCTCTCCCGCGGTGGCCACCGACCCCGCCAACTGTCTCCCGGCGCCCGGCCCCGAGTCCTCCGGGCCCCGCCCCCTGCCCGAGGCGGCCTCCCATTGGCCCGGCGTCCGCCCCGGCGTCGTGACGTCGTCGGGCAGGTTGAGGTGCGGCTGCTCGCGCGCTCTTCCCATTGGACGCGGCGCCCCCGGCAGGTACCTTCGCCACGTTCCTCTCTCCTCGCATCCTCCCCGCGCCCCGCCCGGTTAGACCCTCTACCTCCCCCGGTACCCACCGGCCCGGGACAGCGCGGCTCCTTACTGCTACCCCCTCCTGGGTCTTCCCCCCCAACACCCAGGCCGGCCTTCCCTTCCTCTTTACCTTTTCCAGGTGTCACTTCAGCCCCAGCGCCCTGGTTACGTGGCACACTGGCCGGGAGAACCGCCACACCTGGCCGGGTCCGCACTCCCCCACTGATTCTCCAGGCGATCTACGGAGAATGAGGGGTTTTTTTTTGTTTTTGTTTTTGTTTTTTAGTTAAATACACTTTTTATTATTTATTTATTTATTAAATATATTTTGATTTTTTTTTTTTTTTTTTTTACAGAGAGGAAGAGAGAGGGATAGAGAGTTAGAAACATCGATGAGAGAGAATCATCGATCAGCTGCCTCTTGCACACCCGCTACTGGGGATGTGCCCGCAACCAACGTACATGCCCTTGACTGGAATTGAATCCGGGTCCTTTCAGTCCACATGCCGAAGCTCTATCCACTGAGCCAAACCGGTTTTGGCAAGGACGAGGTTCTTATTAGAGGGCCGGGAGGCGATTATGTCAACAAACCTCTGAAATAGGACTTTGTCAGGAACAGACAAAAAATGTCAGATTCTATTTGTTTGACAGTCATCACACTCAGACCCAAAACATGGAACATTTGCCCTTGTCCTGCAAGGCCTTTCTGTTTTATGGATGTTTATGTTGCACCTGTTTTAGACTGGCCTCTTCAAACGTTTGGTTTTTGAAAGGAATTGTTTGGGGTGTTTGAAGGATGGAGATTAAGGAAGGCAAGCATAGAAAACAGGAAAGGATGATAGGTTGGGCTAGAGAATTTTAAAAAATATTTTGCACTTTTAAAAAGTTGAGCTGTGTGTTTATAAGAATTTTCACTGAGATAGTGCTAACCATGTGCCAGGCACTTTTCTAAATATTGGACATATATTAAACTTGAAATTTGTGAAGAACCGAGGAAGCTTATCACTAAATACTGGAACAAGAAATGAATCCACCTGGGGGAAAGTCAATTGGGGAGACGGGGGAGATACATGTACTACTATGTGTAATACTTTAGACAATAAAACAAAATTTAAAAAAAAAAAGAAATGAATCCACCATAACTGTGGTAAAATGAACAAAGGTACTTAGAATTCGCTGAAGAACCATGTTATGTCTCGGGTTAGTAAAACTTAGTCCATGCTGTTCTTCCATCTGTGATGTACTTCCTCCATTCAATCACTGTAAACTGCTGCTACTTCCAACACCTGTTCCAGCCCATACCTCTTCTTGCAAAATTCATCACTCCTTGCTTCCTGCTGCTGTAGCGTATGCATACGTCTGTTACTATGAAAGTAACCAGGATGCCTCTTACACCGTTTGGGGGACAACTGTCATGCCTCCCAGATCATCTCTAGAATACAAATGTTTGAGCCCTCACAGACCAGTAATGGGAAACCCAAAAGTCCTCCCTCTCCCTCTGTGCATACAGGATTCGCTGTGCTTAAGAGGTACCTGAAAAAGAATCTAGTAGGTCAGTCTCACGGCTGAGGCAGAAGGGTAAATGCGGCAAAATTGGCCATGGGTCCCTGATTCCTGGAAGATGCTTGGCATGTTTTTCTGCAGATGGTCCACCCCTACCCCAGAGCTCTCCAACAGGAAGTGCTCCTGGCCAAATTCCCAGTCACCTCAGCAGATGAAGCAGCAAGGACATAGGGTTACAGAGAAGTTGGAGGGAGAACAGTCTGGACCTTAGGGTTTTCAGTAATGGTCTGTGGGGATCCAAACAGGTGCACTCGGGAGATGAACTGGGAGGCAGGACAGTTGTACCCCAAACTGTGTAAGAGGCATCCGGTTCCTTCCACAATAACAGGTTGCCTCTGCATTGGCCAGCTGTTTGAGGTGGCTCAGGGAAAAGGCAGCGAGGCTGCTTAACAGAAGATGTAAACAGATAAAGCACTGTACCCATGGGGAGCCCGCCCAGTGCGGTCAGTGCAAGGTCAAGAATGGAGTCTTTCCAGTCTGTCCCCATGTCACCCTGATCCAAAGTCCCTCAGGTGCTGCCAGTCTGGGCTCCCAAGTGTCAGATTCCAAAGTGATCAGCTCTTTCAGTGCTAAACCAGGGCTGGTTCTAGCTTTCACTCTTTTGAGGATTTAAAGCCATCATTATTCTATTTCTCCCTGGTGACTAACTCCTTGTAAAATACAAAACAGCCCTAGATGGTTTGGCTCAGTGGATGGAGCATCGGCCCAAGGACTGAGGTTCAGCCTGAGTTTGATTCCTGGTTGCAGGCTGCATACGGAGGGCAACACAATTAATGTGTTTCTCTCTCTGTCTCTTCCCCTCCCTTCTACTCTCTCTAAAAATGAATGGGAAATGTTGTTGGTGAGGGTTAACAAAAACAGATGAAAAACAACAACATCAAAAACAAACAAACAAAATCATAGGCATGTCCTGATACCTTTCTTGGTGAACAATTTGAGCTACTCACATGACTCCCACCCAATAAGGTTATGGAAGGCTCTACAATTCCAAGATGATTTTTTTTTTTGTCCTGGCCGACAAAAATATATAATTTCACTAAAATGTAACCACTTACAGGCACCCTTCTGATAAGAAACCCTACTACATGTGCATTCCATTGTATTTTAATGTTTATTATTTCTACCTCTTGACTGAGTCTTAAGCTTTTAGGTGGTAAAATTGTATCTTTTATCTTTATATCCCCAGCACCTAGATCCTAACATGGTCATAGTGATAGCCACCATTACAGTAGGTATAGCAGCCGGCACGCTTTACTGAGTGCCTGTCCTGATCCAGGCAGTGCACCGAATGCGTTACCTGAATGATCTCACAAGGTAGGTACTATTATCCTCATCTTCACAAATGAGACATTTGAGGCCTAGGTCAGGTGAGTTTCCCAAAATCACAGAACTAGTAAGTGGCAGAATTGTGCTTGATATCTGTTTGTTGGCCTTAAGTGTGCCCTATTTACTGAAAATCCAATTATTTAAATCCAGCCAATGAATGGTGAACGTTTTCATTTTCTAGTAGAGTAAAAGGCCCTGTCTCCGCTTCATGGTCCATCAGAGGACGGCTTTCTGTCCTCTCTCAGAGCCTTCACCATTTCACCTCTGGTGATGTAAAATCAAGCTGGGTAGAGTAGCTGAGCATGCTACATTCCGCTGTGTCACCTTTTTCCTCTCAGGAAGTGCAGCTACAGGGAAAATCCGTAGCAGCTTGCTTTTGATTTTTATTAAAATAAAACTGAAGTTATTCCTTCCAACCTGGCTTCCTGTCTCTCTCACTGTTTTCTTCCCCAACTTCTCAGAATAAGAGGCAAGCTCTTTCCTGAGCTCTCTTAGGGACCTCTCCCTGTACTCCTCTCCCCTCCAAACATCAAAAGGTGGACTGAAGCTTTTCACTTCACGGAGTCCACAGAGTAAAGGCTGGTTAAAGAAGCCAGGACAGGGCTGATGAGAATGGAGTGGAGGAAGCAGAAACCAGAAACTTTATGTACTAAGAGTCAACTAAAGGTCATTCATAAAGAGAAAGCGCTCAGCAAATTGAAATGTATGTTAATGATAAATAACAACGTACAACCTGCTTGACCTTCTCAACTCTTAAAGCACTTCTGCTAAGTGCACCGAAGCATGCCGCTACCCACAGGCACACCAAACCCTTAGATGGTGGGCACCTGCCTCATGGAGGAGACCTCTGCTGGTCCGGGGAAAGGGGGAATCTGCCCTCTCCGGCTCATTCTTGGACTTTTCTGGGCTTCTACAGTGGGAAGAAAAATTCAAAAAGGAATGCTAAATCTGTGCTCCAAGAACTCTCATTTGCTTGCTGTTTCCACCTGGATGTCTCACAGGCATTTCAAACCAAGCCTGGGCCAAATAGGTCTCTGATTCCCCTCCAAAAACTGGTTCCTTCCTCAGGCTTCCATCTCAGTGAATGGAATTAGCAACCCTATTTGATACCTCTTTTTTCCTCCTGCCCCACATCCAATCCACCAGCAGATTTTGTTGGCTCAGCCACTAAGAATTCCACTGAATTGCACTGAATCTGCTCGCCTCTCTCTGTCTCTGCTGTAGCCGCCTTACCCAAGGTAGGTGGCATCTCTCACCTGGACTGGTGAAATAGACCCCTAAATGTCCTCCCTGCTTCCATTCTTCCCAATCTATAATCTAACCAACAGCCAGTGTGAGCTTTCAAAATTAAAGTAAATCATTTTGTTCTCTGGCTTAACATTATCAAATGGCTTCTAAAAGCCCTTAGAGTAAAGTCCAACGACCCTATCTCCGTAACCTCCATCCTATGTGTGACTTCATCTCTTGGTTTCCTCTACCTCATGTGCCAGGCCCAAGCAAGCTCGTGTCCTTAGGACCTTTGTACTTTCTGTCTCTCTGCTTAGAACACTCCTTTTCTGGGTCTTTTGATCATTGAGGGTAAGTTTCACCTCCTTAAGAGAGATCTTCCTGGCTGTCCATCTAAAGTAGACCCCCTCAGGGGAGAGTGGGGGTAAGGGAGAGAAATCAACCAAAAAAGTTATATGCATGCATATAAGCATAACG